AAAAGAGAGTAACAGTCGGGGAACAGAGCCCTAGCCAAGCAGGTCAGTTTGCTAGAGTGCTGTTCCAATATGTCAAAGTTGTGGGTTCGATCCCCAGTCAGGGCACATACAAGAAGAAACTGATGAATGTTTGGATAAGTGGGAAAACAAATTGATGTTTCTCTCTCCCTCTCTAAAATCAGTTTTTAAAAAAATTTTTAAAGAGATTAACAAGAGAAAATGAGCAAATTTAATTACATGCCTAGGTACAGAACCCCCCGCACAGGGGAGGTTCAGAGATAAAAGCGGGGATTGCGGTATGCACGATGCTCTGAGCCAAGAATGAGATAATGCACCTTGGGGCTTGAGAGGGGAGGCGGGTCGTTCATAGGACGACAAGAGGAACAGATATTCAGTAATTAGAAGCTTGCCCTGCCCTATAGATAGATCATAAAATGTTATTTCTGGTGATAACTCTTATTATAGGCAAGGCACCTAACACATCCAAGAGAAAGATAAAAGTGTCTCATGAGCCCGCAGGGTCTCAATGGCCCTCAGCTCAAAATAACTCACACGCCAAGTAGCACATCTGGGGGACGCCTGTTCCAAACCCCTTTACAGCCAAAGTGAAAGAGCATACGTTGTATGACACAGTTACTCCACTGACATGAAATCCCAAACAGGGATAACTCCTCCGCAGTGACAGCGGTGTGCGGGGAGGGTTTCTGTCGGGAATGGAGGACAGGAGGACGGGAGAAAAGCTGCAGCATGGACGGAGATATTCTCTCCCAGCCTGGATAATGGTGCACAGGTGCACGCACATGGGAAAACCCGTCAGGCGGTACACTTAACATGTATGCACTTCTCTGTAGAGAAGGTACCCCTTAATTTAAAAATTTAATGAGTAATTAAAACTTACCTATTACAATTACTGAGGACTGACATCTGCAGTACCAATAACGTAGGTTTATGTACATGTGTGCAACATGTACATAATGTATGCAATGTTCATAATGTATGCAACATGCAGCTTTCCTGAGGAAGTCATTACACCTTCTGGACACAGCCCCTGGGAGACAGCCCGGGGCTCATTCATTTCTGTCTCCTGAGCAGCTCATCCACTGTCCTAGCGCAGGGCTGGTGGTCAATAAATGTTTACTGGATTTTGTTTGAACAGTTCAATATGCCTTCAATAAAATTCCCTTCAAACTTCATGGCTAATGATCAAGTGTTTCATCTTCTTTTATATTTATCCAAGTAGGTCCAAACTTATACATGCTGTTATTTTTCTTCATTAAAAAGTGGCTTTATATTATCATCCTTGAAGGGAAAAAAAAATGTTCCACAGCTTCACAGCTCATCTCTTTCTTAAAGTTCTGCCTGTGATCCCCTCATCAGAAGAAGTGCGAAAAGAAGAGTGAGTATCACTCACGAGAAAAGAAATCCAAGTCCTCCTTTGTATAACCAGGTGTGGCTAGTGCTGCTTTCCAAAGTTCTGCTGTACAGATTATGCATCAGAGACAACTTCATGCCGGTCTTATGTACTGGGCCATAAAAATATGGTTTGATTCCTTCAGTTAGCTAAACTTTACCTCCCAGTGAGACAAAGCAGTTGGGCCAATAGTAAGACTTCAGAAAGTAAGACCCTTCTCTGAGAGATCTTGGAAGGAAAAAGCCAATGAAAGCTAATCTCCCACTTCTGATTAAGGGACGTTAGAGAAATGGACCAGCGAGGAGCTGGTGGTCTCTTTCAGATGGACAAGAGCAGCAAAAGGCTGCAGGAAGGGGAACCCAGGCCAGCTCTGAGGCTGGCCTGCCATTTCCCATACAGATGGTGCTTTCATACCCAACTGGATCATTTTAATTCTCCCTAGGGAGGAACTCGGCAGGAACCCAAAGGTCAGGTCATGTACAAGAGGACACAAACATAATCTTGACAGCAGCCTTGCAGACTCCAGGAAAAATGCTCAGACTGAAGACATGCCACTCATGGGACAGGGCTTGGGTGATGGTAAACTGGTACCACATATATTTTCCTCTTCTGCCCATGTTAGCCAACCAACATCCTCCTCTCCCCCTTATTAATGCCTGGGTGCTTAACATGATCCAACCATGGTTATGAACATCCAGCAACAGCCTATTTAATTACTCTGGTTAACTTGGGATCTACTGAAAAGAGCAACAGCTATTAACTCCCTTTAAAATTTTATTTGTATGCATTCATTTATTTTCATCTGTCCCACAACCCTCCCTAAAAAACCCAAGTGTAAAATAAGATGGTTCTTACCAATGCAAGCGCCTCACCAGGTGGGATGGCCAGCCTAAGAATCATGGTGGGGGCATCGTTTGACTGTGCCTCTGGTGTGTTGGGTGATCCTGACTCAGTCACACCCTCCAGTGCAGCGGCCAAGGCATCACAGTGACTCTTTGGCCAATACTACACATTTGCAGGGCTCTTTATTTGTCGGCAACGACAAAATACATGAAGTCACTTTCCTACTTGTTTTCAACCCGTTCATTTCACCTCCGTGATGAAGGACCCATTTTCACAAACCATTGCTGATGGCATTTAGTCAAATGATGTGTTTGACAACTGAGACCACACCAACTTGATATTGAGACGGACCTTCTGAACTGCTGTTCTCTCCTGAGACAGGAAAACAGCACAGGTAGGGCAAGGCCATGGTAAGAGAGGCCAGATTACCAGCTACTCTTTTCCAGAAGACCACCAAACCTCTGGGGGTGTGAGCTTGAAAATGAACCTGCTGACAGTGAAACTTAAAGTTTATTAGCTGAGAAACTGGATTATTTTTTAAGTAGATAGAACTCTAGTCTCACATCAGCTACTTCATGCACTAAAATTCTTTGATCTCAGTACCCCTTTCTAGATAACCAGAGTATATCTACTTACATAATATACCTCCAAACCTTTTCATCTGCCAGTTAACCTCAACAGTAAGCGAGGACAAAGAAGAGAAGGACCTGGGGAAAACAGTGAATGCCACTGGTACCTGCTAGGTGGTCAGCCCTCTTAGCTGCTTTGCTTGTGTATGTGATCTCACATAATCCTCACAACCTTGTAAAGTGGGCGTTAGTGTCTCCAGTCTGTGAACGAAGAAAACTGAGGCGTGACTTGTCCATGATCATACCTAGGAACAGATCCAGAGCTTGAAGCAAGGGCTGGAGGACACCAAAGCCTCAGACCTTCCCCTAGACAGTGATCCTCGCACTGGCATTCCCAAGCCCTTCAGCAGACACCTGGGACTCCCCAAGGCTACTTTCATTAGCAGGCTTAACGCATCCCTTGTGGAGGCTGCTGTTTCCTGCATCATTACTTCTGTGACTCTCCCAGGACCTGGCTGGGTACAGGACCACTGTCGCTGCTGTTACAGCAGCTGTTGGAAAAATACTGCACAGCCTTGGGCAGAGCAGAAGGGCCTGAGTAAGAGGGAGAATACACATGTGCATGCCCACAAGCGAGGTGTACATGTGTGTATACAAATAGAAACAGAAGCCCTGGCTGGTGTGGATCGGTGGACTGAGTGCCAGCCTGCGACCTGAAAGGTCACAGGTTCAATTCCCAGTCGGGGCACATGCCTGGGTTGTGAGCCAATGTTTCTCCCCCTCTCTTTCTCCCTCCCTTCCACTCTCCCTAAAAATAAATAAACAAAACCTTAAAAAAAAAGAAATAGAAGAACACAAATAGAAATAGAGCTAACCGCAATAATAAGGAAGTAATTAATTATATACCTGTTTCTTCCATTTAAGGCAACACCTCTGAATTTTGAGCAATGAATGTTATTAAACAATATTCTATAATAGTAAAATCATTTGCTCTTTTATTCTTAAAACTCTTAGTAGAGGTACCCATTTCTTTTGAAAGCTAATGATTCTTTGGGGTATACAGCTAATAGGTTAGGATTACACGCAACCTTCAAATATTAACAAAAATTAGCCTTCAAGGAAGAATGTAAACAAAGTATACAAGTATTCAAGGAAATGAGTGTGTTTCAAATCTGCCCAATGACAGCTTCCCTATTCTAAAGTCGAGTGTCACACTTACACCTCAGCAGTGTTCTGTTCCTCTGTTAATCACGAGAAACATATTTGCCACATGCTGGGAGCCTGATTTTCTCCGCATATTAGGGAAGCAACAGAAATTTCCAAAACAGGCTAGTTCAGAATTCAGCCCTTTAAATAGACTTGGGAAAATTCTCCAGCCTGAATAATTGTTAACCAATCCAGTACTCAGGAATTATTCTATGAAATGTTTTTTTTTTCTTAAATTTTTGTTCAAGTACAATTGTCTCCATTTTCCGCCCACCACTCCCACCCACCCCAGTCATCCCCACCTCCCACCCCCCTTCGGTTTTGTCCATAAGTCCTTCATACATGTTCCTTGATGACCCTTCCTCCTTCCGGGCCACCGTTACCCCCTCCCCTCTGGTTGCTGTCAGTCTGCTCTTTATTTCAATGTCTCCGGTTATATTTTGCTTGCTTCTTTGTTTTGTTGATTAGGTTTCACATACAGGTGAGATGAAATGGTTGTTTGGGATGGCACCACTGATCACTGAATAAATGAGCACAGTCTGCCAGCATCACATAGAAGGTGAGAAGGGCCACACAAATGGCCTTAACTCATTTTAGTATTAAAATAAAGCATTTCAGTTAGGACTCAAGGCAGGCCAAAGTTACTCAAAGCAAACACTGCAGAGAAAATATTTCCTAAAATCAAATTCTTGACCTGAATCTGATCTGCTTTCTTCCATTCCATCAGTTACCCAGACTCAAGTCAAAGGGACAGTACTAGCAGGTTATTCCAAAGGACATTTCAATTATTTGGGAAGAAATAAATGACCCTTGTCTTTTTTAAAAAATAAAGCAGACTTCCTCTAGAAAAAGATCATTATAGGTGAGGAATAATTTAGCAAGTAAAATTCTGTTTTACTAGTACACTACATTAAAATGCAATTTTCAGGCTAATATATTTACAGAACATTTGGAGACGGCCAGTCGCTTACCCCTGGCGGTGGGAGCTTATCCTCTGTAATGATGCTGAGCGCATTCTCAGGACAGAAGGCTCAACGATTAGAGAAGTAACTGATTTTTCCTAAAGAAAAACATCAGAACCCCAGTTACATCCTTTAAAAGTATGTATCACCCTACAGAGAATGTGGAAATTTTCTTTGTTTAACAACAACAACAACAACAACAAAGCAATTAGGAAAAATGCAAAGCAGCTACAATTACAATCAAATACAGTTTGTGCTTCTGACATGGGCCTCCTCACACTAGTTGGGCTTAGACACTCCCTAAGGAAATTCCAAATTTTGCAATCTAGTAGCTCTCGTCTCCTAGGGAAATATTCATTTAAGGGGATAAGGGGAGCCTGATTCACATTTACAGAGTACCTTCCCCAATAGCAAGTTCTATGCTCATAATCTACATTCGGGCCAACCCCGTCCCCTGTTCTAGCTGTATGCCCTCAGACAACCTTGGTGAGTCTCAGCTTCCCCACCTGGATTTGTGGATAATTACTCACAGCAGCAGCCTCAGAGAGGTGTGGGGCCAAATGCTATTACCCTCTATGTAACACATCGGTCACAGTGACCTCTGTCTCACAGTAAGTGCTCAATAAACTTTAACCCTGATCATTTCTATGGGGTCCTCCTACAGGTAAGGGGAAAAAAAGGTAACTTGTTTGGAGTCGCCATGCTGATAGGCTAACCCAGGCTCAAATCCCAACACGCAGGTCTTCTAAGCCTATAGAACTGTAATCGGAGGCATCAGACACACTGAGGGACGGCCATCCACATTCAATTGTGAAGATACTAAAAGGGGAGGGGGGAACGTGACAATAAAAATCAAGACCATGCATTGCATATAAAGCATTAAAAACTTACTACCAATTACAAATGTCTCCCCATCAACCTTTCCAAAAAGAATTATTTTAAAATATTTTAAGTCCACGTAGTATGTAGGTTATTGATCAAGAACCACCTTCTGCAGCACGATAACAAATGTGAACTTAATCTAGAACTCCTGGTTAGCCTGCTGACCATTTCACCAACAGGAAATCAAGGAAGTAAATACCCTGATCACTTCGCAGCATGCTGGTCCACATGTTATCGCAGGAAGCCCTCCCAGCCAGATAGGTGTCCTTCTAGACGTCTCACAGGTAGAGAAACTGTGGCACGGACAGGGCAGCCCCCTATCTCCACCTATCTCAGGGCAGGGCCCAAACTGAAACTCACCTCTGTCTACATCTAAAATCTGTGTTTTCTCTAGAACAACACGGACGAGGCAAAAGAAGGGTTAGGCTACTTAGTGGCTTGGCTCTGACAGTATGTTTAACAGAATAAATAGGAAAGATGCCAGTTTTTGAGGACATCCCCATGAAGATTAATTTTTACCAAACGATTTCATCTCTAAAGTAAAAGTCAGTAATAGACATGGTCAACACATGCCCCATGTGGAGCATACTCAATTCACAATTTCAAGCTTGCCTGGGTCAGTGTTAGTTTCGTATACAGAAAAAAAGCTTTTGAAAAGATAGGAGCTCACTATCAGGTCCAAGTGAGCACAAATCACCTCCCCACCCGTCAGAGCTTCAGCGCCAGTGGCAGACGGCACCAAGGCTAGAGCACGCCCCAGTCCAATGCAACTTAATTCCTCCAGGTTCTCAACGGATAATTAGGGAAGACTCCTTGGGTCACAGTCCCCGGGCTGGAGAGGACGTGGGACCAGTTCTCCCTTATTCTTTTCTTTTCTTTTTTTTTTTTTGGATAAACATTTTTTTATTGTGGTAAAATATATATCAAAATTTACCATTTTTACCATTTGTAAAATGGTTCTGTGGCATTAAGTACATTCACATTTTGTTGAATAATTATCACCACCATTCAGAACTTTTTAATCTTTTCCCCAACTGACCCTCTGGACCCCTTAAGTAATAACTCCCACTACCTGCTCCCCACAGCCTGTGGTAACCACCGTTCTACTTTCTTTCTCTATGGATTTGATTATTCCAGGTACCCTGAGCACATCACATGATATCTGTCCTTCTGTGACTGGTTTATTTCACTGAGCATAAGGCCAGTTCTCTTTTTTCCCCAGTTAGTCTCCCTGAATAAACACCCTGAAATGTACATCCTCTAGAGGAAATAAAAATGAATATGGGAGCATTCTTTTTCCCCCCATTTACTTACTCATTACTAAAAGGATATAAAAAAACACTAAGGGTAGTTGAGGAGGAAGAAGAGAAAGTCAACAAAGTCACCCATAACTTCACCAGGGGACCACTCCACCCCCATTTGTACTTATTCTCTCATGATCTTCTGCTTTGTGCAAATGAAATTTTTATAATTACATCACACTGAATGTCTTCCTGCTTTAACTTCACTATCAAAATCATAACTGTGCAAACATTTCAAAAATTAACGTTCAAGGTCAACACTACAGAAAAATAAATGTACTCCCATGAAAACTTGTATCTACCGAGCTCCCCAATGGCAGAAATAAGTTAAGACTGCCTAAAGTTTCACTCTCATCTAAGGAAATTGCTCTTCACAAGACAGTACCATATTGTTTTAGTAGTTGGTGCAGAGAGAAGACAACACCTTCACAAGTGTTCATACGAAATCACTTAAATGTTAAGTATAAAGGTATATAAACTCCAAATGCGGCCATCCATCCCACTATTATAGCTCTCAGTGGAAAAGAGCACAGCAACATCTAATGAAAATCTTGTTTTCTCTGCAGGAAATAAAGATAATAATGCCACAAATCAGCATTCTCCTCAGTTTTTTATTGGTTTTTCTTGCAATTCACATGTTCTCAGAACTAAAAAGAGGAAAAATAAACTTCAATAAAATTCCACATCTTATTTTTGTTTCTTATTTCTATTTGTGGCTTGAAAAAAAATATATATATATAACAGCAGGATCTAGTACCAGTAAAAGAAAATGATTTAAGCTGAAATAAAACTCAAGCCAGCAGGAGATGACTTTGATCGGGAGACAATTATACAAGAGTTGATGGAGTGCACGACTTCCGTTATTTATTTTTGTAGAAATAACCTCAAGTCCTGGAAAGAAGACATTTTTAGAAAATGACACTGACCCAGACGCTAGGTCTCACAAGTGAGAGCAGAGCGCGCTACTTCTCTTGCACCACCGCTCACGCCCTGTCTGCTCAAACCACTGGAATGCACTTCACTTAAATACAGGAGTTAACCGAAATGCAGGAGTTACTGAAATCACAGAGACCCTGCCCACGGTCATGGTATCCAACACAGGCACTGTTCATGCTGAATTTCCCATCTCATTGAGAGAGAGCACAAGCACCGTGAAAACAGAGCACCCCAACTAAGGGGACCCAGAAGGGCCAATCATTCCGAACATAAACTAAGTTCCCAGAACTACAAGCAACCCTGGCAATGCCACGCCTGAATTCTCCCTAGCGCTCCAGACCATCTTCCCTTCCTGGGTGGACTGTTTCTGGGTGTTCCTTCTATATCTGCAGCTTCTTTTTTCCAGTTTTTAACCTCACCCGAGGATATATTTACTGATTTGAGAGAGAGAGGAAGGAAGCAACAGAAAGAGAGAAACATCCATGCAAGAAAGAAATATCAATCAATTGCCTCCCAAAAGCACCGGGACTGGGGATTGAACCCACAACCTTTTCATGTTATAGGAGGATGCTCCAACCGACTAAACCACCGGCCAGGGGTAAATCTGCAGCTTCTTTTAATCCTCTTCTCAGTTAAGTATCCCAGCATCTTTCTAAAAACTGCCCCACTCATAAAAACGTCAGAAGCACAGGACAGGGCCTCCTGCCCTATTTTTAGTGAGCTTGCCCCACCTTGTCCCTTTAGCGGTTTGCCCTACAGAACTACACCCGTAAAGATGATCAGAGAATAAAACTCTTCAAAAGGACAGATCCACACCATCTGCTCTGACTCCAGGAAGGACCAAAACTAAACGTATATCAACCAAAAGGAGATCTAAAAGTTATTATTTTTAAGTTGGGATTAAAATTCCAAAATGTCAGCAAAAACCCAAAACAATATTAACTAAGCCTCACCTCAAGTTTATATTTCTCATACCTAATGCTCACCCTTAGCAACTCCAACAGGCCAGTCCTCTCTCCCTACTTCTACTTGGGGTTAGCTGACATCCATGGCAATATCTAAATACCCAAAAGAAGAAAGGATGTTGTCATAATTTGAACAATTCAAGTCAAAAACCACTCTTTGCTTTCTAACTGAGGCAAAAGCATGTACAAAAAAAAAAACACCCTGAGTCCCACGTGACGCTACAGCCCTCTCCTTCCTGACACAGCAAATGTGCAATAATCTCCCAGACTCTACATGCCATTCACCTCTGGACCAAAGTCAGTAGGACTGACCAGCTGGGCACAAGTCACAAGGAAAAAACCAACATGACAATCCTGTCTCTGCCACAGACATTGCAGTCTACTACAATGATCAGAAAGCCACAGACAGGTGGAAGGTGAAGAGCAGAGAGAAGTCTCCATCACTTGAAGTACCTTAGAGCTGGTTGTCCAAGGTATGTACATCAAGAATCACTAGTTCTGGGGAAACTATACAAACACTGAATTAAATGAAGCTAACAATTTCCTTTTCAGCAGGCCTTCTGGAATATGTTAATGGGAAGAGAGAAGGAACTTGATGGTAGAAATCTTTATTCACAATGTATTTCCAAACCCCTGGGTTTTGGTGAACACTTTGGGAAGCACTGCTTTAGAGGCTGTGGAAATAAGGTTAGAACTGAGACCTGGAAAAGCAGGCACAGGACTAAGGTGACATCAATCCAGGGCCAGGACTACAGGAGCAGCAGGGCTCCTTAAAGAGATGTTTTATAGTGAGGCCCTCTGCACCATTCTTTGGGCATGAAATTGCTCCTCTCCATGTCATGAACTTGACATGGCCATCACTTACTGTGACAACTCAGGACACAGCTTAATAGTCACCTACTCAGGCCACTTGATCTAAAGGAGCCCACCAGGCACTCTGCAGTGAGTGTTTAACTCATGGCCACATCCCTAGAGCCTACTGGCACATAGTAGATGCTCAATAAAAGTATGCAG